GCGACAATCATCTGTTTTTCTCGTTTCGATCTTCTGACGTCTCTGAAGCGGCAGATTGGGAGGTAAGGAGTGACGAGGGGATGGAGATGGAGAGGGAGACGGTAAAAGTAGAGGACGAGGGGGAGACCGATGGTGAAGATGAAACGAAGCGGTAGAGGGACGTTAATGATGAACTGGATGGTGGAAATGTCAACAATGCGCAGAAGTGCAAGAAGTAGCGAAAAGCATTGTAGCGTGCAGTTCAGCACGTCTAGCGGTTGGTTGTGTGAATCAATTCCTTGCATCACCTGACACGTCTGTGATTCAATCGGTGGCACGTGTCGCGTGGTGTCAACTCCGGACAACATTCCTTGTCTATGGTTTCGTAGAAGTGGAAGAGGATTCTTCTCTTTTAAGGATGGTAATAGTGGAATGCGGGATGCTTTAATGGCATTTAGACAGGACTGTTTTCATTTGGATTTAAGGTCTCGCCTAATTTGAAGTGGATCATGGTTATGATCATACCTTACGCCTTTTGTGGTGAAGTAGGAAGCACACCGCATTCTGGAAACTCCACGGATAACCGAATGACAAAGCCTCTGAGTGGGACCGTGCCTTATTGATTTCACTTCAAAGGTGCCCTAAGCAGGTGACAGTGAGGTGCCAAAATAATTGCTGCTTAAATATGGTGGGTAGAAGATTAACCGGCTCCAAATATCCCACATCTGAGACGTGACCTGTTTATTACTAAAGGGTTTCTCCTGCAACAAACATTAGCAACGAAGTAATGATGATATGATTTGCGTCAAATTTTTAGCTCCTTTCGCCCAGCATGGACAATCCATTACTACCTGACAGAGACTACTCAGGATACCACCTAAACTGCGGTAGGGCAACTTAGCAGACATGCGAACGAATTGCTCTCCTTGTCAAAAATTGACAATTACAAATTTAACATCGCAGAGAATATAAATTTGACAATTTGAATTGCATGTACATAAAGTCGCGTTAACATATGCTTCAAACGCATACCTATGTGCTTCCGACGGCTAGGAGAGCTTCATAGTGTATTTATGCAATTGTTACTCCGGTAACGGCGACCGGTTTATCATAGGTGATACTTACGGCAATACCTATGTTATAGCTCTTTGCTTTTCTACACAGTGCTCTTCACGATCTGTAGTAAAGCTGTAGTGATATCATATAAACTCTTTCTATCAACTTACGCATTATTTACCTCTCGGATATAATCTTCAGATCAAAATATCTGTAAGAGTAACCACGAGCACAAGAGGCGATTGTGAAACAGAAATAAATGAATGTGGAAGGAAACATGCTCTAATGAAGTCTCTGGTTAGAGTCAAACATGCTCTAGCCCACTAAACTGTAAGGGGTAAGCCGAATAGTGAAGACGGAAATTTCTAAATTTTTCTGACTCTCTGGATAGAGCAGAATCAGGAAAGAGAGCACATACCATCACGCCGTAAGCAGGTAATTCCCTAAGTGAAAGGGTTGACAAATCCAGTGTAGATATCTTTGGATTTTTATTAACGTCACATCTCGCATCAATCATGTCAACGTGGACGCGTCTCTTAAAATCCGGCTGCGCCGCAGACACAAACGCTCCTGTCGGATTCACTTGACACGAAGAATGAAACAGTAGTTAGAGCTTTTTATACTTTTAGACAACAACAAAAGGCGGTTTCAAAGCACTGCATTAAATTTGAACGACTTGCAATGAATTCATTTTATTGCACTCAAGGAGACTTACTTTTGTCGACTGGTCTCGAAGGAGGAGTGCCAGAATGAGGTATCGTCTGTAATGAGAAGCCTCGGCCACATAAGCTTAGGCGTTTAGAAAGAGGAACTTAGAAGTTTCACTTTTATTTCTTTAAAGCTGCATCTGATTGGCATCGGGCATTGTCCAGTGGTTTTCTTCAGTGCAAGCAAAAGGCTGTCCTCCTATTGAGGTAGAAGAGCTAAAGTGCGCCACTCTCATTTTACAACATTCGAACTAGAGGTGATTGGCGTTTGGCCCTGGCTGCTTATTTTCTTAATTGCGTGCAAGAGACACTTTTTGGCAAGACAATCATTCTTAATGCTGGCCAGTGGTATAGAGAAGTCGAGGTAGAACTATAGAAACGCTATACTCGGCTTCTTTTCGAGCCGACATGGCTGACATTAAGCCATGGCTAGTGGCTTGCGAAAGGCAGTTCTTTATTAATATATGCATCTTTTATTCCCCTCGATGACAGTTTAAGTGTTGACCTTCCTAGAGAACACACTAGCCTTGGTAGACAGATCATTAAGAACACTTGTATAAGCTTAGCCAACCAAGAATAGTATCTGTAGCCTGTTGAACGGTCCATGATTGGGTCTTATTTGGTAACAGACTCGCATTGGTGTGAAGATATCGTCAGCAGAATGGGTTTAAGGCAGTGGTTCTTTGTTCTCACCGACGAAGAGGAGAAAATGCTGAGCAATTTTAGGCACTGCTTAGCATTGCTTTTTGATGTTTTGCCCTTGATAACTGTCTGGCCGACTTGTATTGCAAATATGCCGAAAGAGTTTATTAGCCCCTTTCCCACCTTTACTTGACTAAGATACCTCAGTTAGAGAATAACACTTATAATCGTATCGTGTCTCGAATACAAAATTTCGTATTTTTGAGTGCAGAGGTGTTAAAGCGTGGAAAAGAATCATCACTGTATTAGTCACATGCCTAATCACAGGCTTGCCATCGGTTTTGACATCATCTGCATCAACAGCGAATTCAAAAGCATACGTTTTGTCTCATCTTGAATAGCGCTGAGAATTTCCATTATTTTGCAATAAGAAGTTAGATATTTATACAAAGATTATCTGGCAACTAGGTCAACAGATTTGGGTTACAGTAAAGGATGAAATCCGGAGATGTTGCAAGTAATCTCGCAAGTGCAACGAGACGAAACTTGCCAAAGTATCATCTTGCAACTTTTATGTTTTGCAATGCAAACGTGCACTACTGACTGAATAGCCAAGTACTTTATGAGCCGCGAATGTTGATGCAAAAAAGGCATAAACGCATTACCAAAGGACTCATTTTACCATTTAATTGTATACTGTACAAAAAAAGTACCCTGTTTAGGGACGTGTACTTTAATTAAAAGTAAGTGGAATTTCCATCCCCTTGCCCTCGAATATGGGAAGATCAAATTTCCCAGCATACTTGCACAAATTAAACGAAAGCACTGATTGGTTAGGACACCGGTGAAGCTGCCAAAAGATTAGTTGCTCACAGCTTCATCCCCTCCATCAATTCCATTTTTACCACAATTGCAATGGGCACGCAAATTCGCTTAGCTGCGTCTTCAAAATGATCACCAAGTTATTGTGTCAATAAACGATTAAAAACAACATTTATTGGGTCGTATCCCTGTTGATAGTATCATGATACACGGGAGTGAATGGTGTCAATTACACAAAGACGTCTGTGCTCAAGATGACACAGTTGAGGAAAGTGCATTCAGTGAGTGAGCTGAGTGTTGGGCTACACCGAATAAGGTGAGTGCTATGAAACATTGATACATCCATGCACCAATAGTGCACCAATAAGCATGTGAAACATAATCACCTTTGCAATATTCC